CTCCTTGCACGCCATGAGCTCCCCCTCGTAGAACAGCTTGGACGGGAGCCTCAAAATTGCCTCATGGGTTCGGTAGTTCCGGACCAGCCTAGTTATGAAACTCCCGTCCCCTCCTCCCTCATAGGGCCCGCAGCCAAAGAGCCTCTCCAGGTACGAGGTTCCAAGGCCACAGGACTCAGCGTCCCTAGAGAACACAACGGGCCCCAGCTGCATTGGGTCACCCGCGAGGACCACGATGCTGTCCTTGGAATAGAGGTTGGAGAGGGGGACCATCGTCTCAGGCTCAGAGGCCTGGCCCGCCTCATCCATAAAAAAGTAGGAGAAGTGGCCACGCCGGACGCCCTCTGAGTAAAGAAGGGAGGCGCTCATGTAGGTGGAGATAATTATCCTGTACTTGGCAAGATCCCACCTGGACGGGCACTTGAAGGCAGAATCCTCCACGAAGCAGAACTCAATGTGATCGGGGCTGACGTCCGCGAAGGGGCGGGTTAAAGCGTTGAGCCTGAAAATCTCGTTTTTCTTGATCTCGACCAAGTCCTGGCCAACGAGCCTCTCTAGGATGTGGTCGGCTGCACTGTTCGAAGGCGCACACACGAGGACCCGGGCGTTCTTTTTCGATAGGTAGATTTGGAGGATGGCCTCGATGAGGGTCATGGTCTTCCCCGTCCCAGGCGGGCCATGGATCAAGTACGGGGGCCCGCCCCTGCGTGCAAGTATCATTTCGATGGCACTCAACTGCTCCTCGTTCAGGGTGCAGGAGATGGGGACAACGGGTTTGGGGCCCACGAGGCTCCGCTTGGGCGGAACGGTCGGGAAGAGGAAGTTCCTGGGTAGTAACTCAGCGGCCTCGACCGCCTGGTAGAGGCGGCGCATGTTCGTGCGGTTGTAGGTGAACTGCACGTTATAGAGGTTAATGTCCCGGTGGTTGTTGTGGAATTTCTGCTCGAATTTCAGGTACACTTCCTCAGCTTCTACACGGTGGATAAAACCCTGCATGAGAATAAACGAGAAGATTTTAAAGACATGAGGCCTCTGTATTTGAAAGGGTAATTCGAAGCAACTGACACAGACCGAGGATTCTGAATTTTAAGAATCTGTTGGTGCATAGGCCATAACTACCCAAAAATTAAAATTGCCAGCTGATCAGATGAATTTCGAAAAAATACTAGTGCTCAGCATAATGAAAATTGATAGGTGGGCGCTTTCGCATAAATGCTTATGATAACTGAACAAATAATCTGAACAGCCTCAGATGATTTATACAAAACATGGGTTTCGCCCCATAATAGTTCTTAGTACTCATTTACTTAATTATGTTCATAAAATTCCGGAATGTGAGAATAAAAAATAAAATTCTTGAATGTGTGAATAAAAAAGGCAAACAGAAAATTGATGTCTAAAGGTGATCAAGGATTGATATGAAACTACTGCATACAATCCATTGAACACAAACTACTTCGGTATTTTCCCAAGGTCAGCCCATACTATGTTGATTTGCTAGTAACAAGTCATCATAACTCATCCAAGAACAGAATTCAATAAACTGCTTGGTTGGGGACAATAACCTGATATGCACCAACAGTCGCATCTTGATCTTCGCTAGCAAGCTTCACGAATATATAGTCCCCACTAACAAGCGAAGGACGTTTCTCGGCCAGTCCTGGTACTTCAAGAGACAAAAACTGGTTCCATTTTCTTTTCAAGGTGACGCACTCCATGTCATACGCCCTCATGTCTTCCTGAAGTTTTAATTTGAACAAGGTAAAAAGAAAAAGAGTTAAAATAGTTGCAGATTCTAGTAGAGTTACACAAACAAAAAGGTATCTTGTTTACCTCCAATTTTACCTCCTCCATAGCAAGAAGTGTCTTGAAGAACATGCCATAGTTACTCTCACTCAAACCATCACTAACCTCATCGGGCGTCTGCTGATTACTTAACATCTCACGAATATGCCCGGGAATCAGGTAATCATCCAGCCGTCTCTTATACCCGCCCCCGTTAGAAGTACCCTTTGAAGGCCGGCGGCCCCTCACGTACCCACCTTCCACACTCACCACGTCCTGTTTCTTTCTCCGTGACCTCTGGTATGGCTTGTTCGAAGTCAAAGACTTGGAGATTTTATCCTCCGCAAGCACGAACACCAGCCGCTCGATAGTCTCGTCCCCTACACTGAAATGCACTGCTGCTGAATACAGCCCTATCTCCTCAGGCTTGCACGAAAGCCAGATTTTCAAATCCCGATCCGCTCTAATCACCTTATCCTCTAAGGAAAATGACTCGACAAAATCTTGGATGTACTGCTCGTCGGATTTTGCTGTCGGGGGCTCCATTAGAGAAATTTTGAAGGCATTCTCGGGCTTCGAGTCATAAATGCTGACAGACCAGAGGTCGAGCGGCTCACCGCTGATGTTCTTTATGATGACCGAGTCAGAGATAGCCTCACCCACGAATCCCGACTGAGGCTTCCCATTGACCAAAGGGAATGGGACCGAGATGTTGACTATTTGACTTTCTTCAGACGGGTTGTAGTTGCAGACAGACCTGCAGTTGTCGAAGTCAATGAACCCAATGTCACCCTTGTCCCCAACGACCGAGTACTCATCGTCTGATTTGTAATGAACAGAGCTCATCACGCGGTGAAATCTTCTAAAAGATCTGTGAGATTTGGTTAGGAAACAAATGGTACATTGAAAGAAGAAATTAACGATAATTTTGGCAATAATGGTAGTTTAAATGTGAGTGAAAAGTGATATCTAAGCTTCATAATGACATGCTTGCCCACCTAAGATGCAGTTTCACTTTTTCTTTCTATTCCTTCCTCTTTTCGCAATAGAATTGTGAAATCGGGCGTATGCTTACGTATGGAATGGATTTTCTGGAAAATTAAAAACTACATTAACACGTAAAGAACCTTTAAGAGACTCACTTGTGGAGTGAATGAAACTAACTTAAACCAACAATATTGGCACAATCCAAGGAACATATCACTCCAAAACCTCAACATACAAACAAAGGCAGCAAATGCACTCTCCAACAGGAAAACACATATTCATTTCACCAAAATTCTTAAATTCAATTTGAAACCAATGGAACATTAATAGCAACTCAACGGGGAAGAAAAAGCTAGCAATAAAATACTTATGCAGGACCGGGAAACTTATTGCGAATACACACACCAATTTACAAAACAATAAAGGAACCAACCAACATTCATTTTCAATAAACAACACATCTTTACAACAGCAACAAGACCCCGTAGCTTGACAAAAGAACATATACATGGAAATACAAAGTGTATTTATAAGATGCAGGTACTTACGAAATGCTACAAGACGAGGTTTTTGGAAATATTTTGATGCACCAAACCCTTAAAGCACTTAATTTCTACCCAAATTCCACACACAATTTTCCTCTTCAAAAAGGGCACACAGACCACATCAAATGTGCACCAAAAAACAAATGAAAAGGAAAACAAGAACGGTTGCTGGATCAATATTGACGATGAACTAAACTGAACAAGAATCCCAAACAAGGATTTTTCATTTTTCTTTACAAAAATAAAATAACCCTTCAAATGTTCCCCCTCGAAATGCAGATTTAATCACAAAAATTAACAAAAAAAGAGCCTCCAGCGGTTATCAAGCGAGTAAAATCAAGAAAACACATCCAATGAATTACAAACAAAACCCAAGTAACATATGAATAAAAAAATGCAGGTAGTGAAATGTACCGACAGAAAAACCTACCCTTTTCGCCAGAGACGAGCGAACGATAAGCTCGTGCCAGTAGAAATTGCAGAAAGCAAAAACTGAAGCCACTGTGTGTGTGTGTGTGTGTGTGTGTGTGTGTGTGTGTGTGTGTTAAAAACGACAAATTAGAGAAGAAGAGTGGGCCTCCGCCAAAAATGAGTCTTTCGTATCAATGAGTGATTTCTTTAATTCAGATTTACTCTTTAGGATTTGTTATACTTTGGAGTTAAACCTCAGCCGATAATGCTATATGAAACTCTCCACTGAATCGTATTAAGTAGTGTTGTTTGTTTACATAACAGCACAGCCACAGGTGTTTTTCTTTGGAAAAAATAAAATCTATGCAGCAAATGTTGTATGATATTTTTATGTGGTGGTGTATTTAGTAAATACAGTGTAGATTAACGGACGTAGATAATCAAATTTTTATGCAGAAATTTGAATTTGATTATTATTGCGAATTCTCTAGATTAGACGTTTGAATATTATACTATAATTGATCATTTATTTCATTTTATAGATGTTAGAAATTGTTTGTTGAAAATACACGGGAATCCTATGAATTTTTTAATTCTTACCATAGAATCAAAAATTAGAAAATTATAATATAACCATAAATAAATTACAGCTTGAGAAATAGAAAGATTTTAGCCCGAGTAAACTCTTTCCGCAAGACGAATATGCCCGTGTAGTGCTGACGGCGTATCGTCCCTAAATATACAACGACGATCGTCTCGAAATTTGTAGCATACCAGATTTACGAGCTTCGGCGAACTCGAACGGTGTCGAGAATTGAGCATTTAAGATAGAAATAAAATTATCTCTCTTTTGCTATTTTAATAACAGATAATTTTTATATCTGTTTTTCTCTCTATTTTTCCCCCAACAATTCTTTCTCTATGTACTTTTCTCTTCTTTTTAATTTTTCTTTTGTATCCTTTCTATTTCCTATGCTTCTCTCTTGTGTGAAATCTAATATTTATAGATGAGTTTTGAGCATGTGGGCAGAACTCTTCAAGCGTCTTAGCAGAATAATTTAATCAAATCACTTAATTGTAACAATAATTGATGCAATTTGACAATAATGGTGCAATTGACAGTTGGCCATTAGCAGAGGAATCTTCACATTGGAACAAATGCATGTTAGGAAGAAAAAGAAAATTATAGTTTGGCCTAGGTCATTATTAACACTAAATTATAGTAGCTCACGTGATTTACACTCAATTATTCTAATAATCCCCACATGAGTGTAAATAAATATATGAAGTCTAATGTGTTCAATTCTCACAAAACTCTATTGCATCAGAAAAGGTAGATTGTGACTTTGAACTTTTCTTAGTAAACATCATCGGATGCACTGGCGGCCTAGTGGACATAATGCCTAGAACTATTCCTCCATAGTGTACACCAAGACAATGACATTCACACAATAGAGTCTTAACTCCATTTCATTCTATTGTTGTGTCTGTTTTGGCCATGGACAACATTTTGGATCACTTCACGCTTATATAGGTGACATTCCTATCAAGAGTATCATGTATTACTTCACCTTTATAAGGTTAGTGATTCATTAAAAGTCCAGATGACTTACCCTTACCACAATGAATTAACAGGTCATCCTGCACTTGGAGTGCTTTAGGGAATAGCTTTAGACATTCATATATTCCAAGTGCTCAGCGAATTTCATAGTTCAGTTTTCCCTTGAAACCAAGTTCATGGGATCTCCACTCAGCAAGGTAGGGTTACCACTATGATCATTCTTTTTATTGTGGATTTTTAAGTCCATTCTCTCTAGCAAAATTTTCAATTGATCTATATTCATTCCTTTAGTCAAAAGATCAACCTAATTTTCTTTAGACTTCACATAGTCAATGGAATTAATACCATTTGTGATCAGTTGTCGAACGATATTATGTCTACGACGAATATGTCTAAACTTACCGTTATACATGTTGCTTTGCGCCCTTCCTATAGCAGCTTGGCTATCACAGTGAATCATAACAGGCGGCAAAGGCTTATTCCAGCATGGAATATCGGATAAAAATTTTCGAAGCCACTCGGCTTCTTCACCAGCTTTATCTAAAGCGATGAACTCCGATTTCATGATTGACCGAGCTATACAAGTTTATTTTGTGGATTTCCACGAAACTGCACCTCCTCCAATACATAAAACATATCCGCTAGTGGAGTGAGAATCTCTTGAATCTGAGATCCAACTTGCATCACAATACCCTTCAAGTACAACTAGGTATCTCGAGTATTTTAGCCCGTATTCAAGGGTGTCCTTTAAGTACTTAAGTACCCTTTTCGAAGCATTCAAGTGCTCTTGAATGGGATTGCTCATAAATCTGCTCTCAACTTACTTACCGGATAGGCCAAGTCTGGTTGTGTACAGTTTGCCAGGTACATCAGACTCCCTATTATCCGTAAATATTCCAACTGAACAACTGGTTGACCTTTATTGGCTACCAGATTAATGTTAAGATCGAGGGGAGTCCTAGACAGCAGACCATCTTAGGCATTAAATTTCTTGAGAACTTTCTCTACGTAGTGAGATTGTGCCAAGACAATTCCATCTTGAGTTCTGATAATCCTTATTCCAAGAATAACATCAGCTAAACCCATATCTTTCATGTCGAAATTTCTCTTCAACATTTTTTTCGTATCCATGATCACTTCATGGCTACTCCCCATGATCAACATATCGTCTACATATAGACATACAATTACAAAAATATTTGATTCACTCTTAACATAAACACATTAGTCACATTCATTGATATTGAAATCATTTGACAACATCACATCATCAAATTTCAAATGCCATTGTTTCGGAGCTAGTTTCAGTGTGTACAAGGATTTTATCAATCTGCACACCTTTTTCTCTTGTCCAGGTGCTACAAACCCTTCGGGTTGTTCTATGTAAACTTCTTCTTACAATTCACCATCCAAAAATGTCGTCTTGACATCCATTTGGTGAATCTCAAGATTGTGCAAAACAACAATCTAGAGAAGCACTCTTATCGACGCTAAACACGTAACTGGTGAATAGGTATCAAAGAAGTCATACCCTTCTTTTTGTTTAAAGCCTTTGACCACCAATCATGCTTTAAATTTATCAATCGTTCCATCAGCTTTATATTTCTTTTTTAGGATCCATTTGCATCCTAAACAACCATCAGGGAGATCAACCAACTCCCAAGTATTATTTTGCATAATGGACAGAGCTTCCTTAATGCAACTCGGTTCATCGTCCAACATGTATGTAATAAAATTAAGTTCAAACATTTTTGTCGTTTTTACCCTTTTACTACGTCTCGGTTCTTTATCTTTTTCTTCAGTACCATCTGGTATAGAACCGTTAGTAGTTTCATACGTTCTTTTATTAAAACTAGATTTTGCTCTTTCATTCAGAGGAAAAATATTCTCAAAGAACATAGCATTCCTCGACTCTATTGTAGTACCAACATATACCTCTGGATTTCTGATTTATGCTCCAGAAATCTATATGTTGTACTATTGTACGCATATCTAATAAATATACAGTCGACCGTCTTTGGTTCGATTCTCATTTGTTTGGGTTCAGGTACTGAAACCTTAGCCAAACACCCCCACACTTTCAGGTATTTATAAGACGGTTTACGTTTTTTCCACATTTCGTAAGGAGTCTCATTTTTCCCTTTAGTTGGTATTTTATTCAGGATATGATTGCTGTTAAAACAGCTTTCCCCCACATGTTTTGGGGTAGTCCCAAATTTATCAAACATGGCATTCATCATTTCTTTTAAAGTTCGGTTCTTGCGTTCTGCAACACCGTTCGACTGTGGAGAATGGGGGGTTGTCGTTTGATGAATTATGTCATATTCAGAACATATTTGTTCAAAAGGAGCTACATACTCCTCACCCCTATCGCTTCGGATTATTTTAATCTTTTTGCCGAGTTGATTTTCGGCTTCGGTCTTATAATTTTTAAACGCTTCCACAGCCTCGTCTTTGCTTCTTAACAAATATAAGTAACAAAACCTTATGCAATCATCGATAAAAGTTATAAAATACTTTTTACTCATTCTTGTGTGCACAGTTTTCAGAGCACATACATCAGTATGGATTAAGTCTAATGGTTCAGTAATCCATTCCACCGAGTGAAAAGGCAACTTAGCCATTTTAGCTTCAACACAAATTTCACATTTAATATATGATTCAATTTTAGAATTAGGAATTAATTCTAAATTCATCAATTATTTAATTGCATTTAGATTAATATGTCACAGTCTATTATGCGATAAATCAGAGCACTCGACCGTTTAAACAGAAATAGACTTTTTATTATCATTAAAAACAGTTACACAGCTCACGGCCATTACATTCATTTTGAACGAACCCTTGTCAAGATAGCCACGACCAAGAAATGTTCCAAACTTGCTAAGAAAAAACTTCTTAGCATCAAACACCAGCCTAAATCCATGCTCAACAAGAATAGATCCAAGGACCAAATTTTGCGGATACATGCAGAAAATCTTTAAGCTTCAACTTCTTTCCAGAAGTTAGCTTCAGCACCACTATGTCAACTCCAGCCACATCTGACGTGGAGGAGTTTCCCGAGTGAAGTTTCTAGTTTCTGACTATTAGAAGGAGTGTAATCAGAAAACAACTCCTTGTCGGAACACACATGACGAGTGGCACCAGTATCTATGTATCACTCCCTTGGGTTATCTACCATATTGGGTTCAAACACCACAATCGACATATCAAAGTCGGTCAATTCACCTGACACAGGGCCGTGTTCAGCAACAAGGACACTCGGTTGTGCCTTCTTTTGCCTAGCCTTCTTATGCTTCCTGCAATCCTTAGCCATATGGTTTGACTTTCCACAGTTGTGGCAAGTGCCAGTAAACTCCTATTCCTTGGTGGGCTGCTTTCCTTTGTTAAGGGACTTTCTTTTGCTCTAGTTGCCTTGTTCCAGCAAGTTCGCACGAGCCTCCATCATCAGGGTTTTCCCGATGAATTACGATTGTCTTCCTCAATACGAAGACGAACAACCAGGTCTTCTAGACTTATTTCCTTCCTCTTATGTTTGAGGTAGTTCTTAAAGTCTTTCCAACCCGGTGGCAGCTTTTCGATCACAGTCGCAACTTGGAATGACTAACTCACAGACATTCCTTCAGCATAAATATCGTGCAAGATGATTTGAAACTCTTACACTTAAGACACGACGGTCTTCGAGTCGACCATCTTGAAGTCAAGAAATTTGCCGACGACGAATTTCTTCGCCCCGACATCCTCAGTCTTGTACTTCTTCTCCAAAACAGCCCAAAGCTCTTTGGCAGAACCAACCGAGCTGTACACATTGTACAACTCGTTACTAAGTTCGTTCAGGACATAGTTACGACAAAAGTAGTCACCTTGCCCCAAGCTTCAGACGCAGTGCGTAGTTCAATATTGGTTTCATTTCAGCAATGACCGGGGGTCGTCCTTCAGGTATTCTACCAAACCCAACGTGGTTTGATAAAAATGCATCTTTTGTTGTAACCTCTTGAAGTCAAGCCCGTTGAATTTTTCGGGCTTTTAAACTATTGGGACATGGACAACAGGTAGCAGATGATGAACAATGTGGTTAATCGACTGTTGAGACCATCTCCGGTGGATGCCATCTCAGTAGGTTGATATTCGTCTTGCGATTGTTAGAAATTGTGTCGAAAATACACGGGAATCCTATGAACTAAAGTGAATTTTCCAGAATAAAACTAAAAATTAGAAAATTACAATATAACCGGAAACAAATTACAGCTTGAAAAACAGAAAGATGTCAGCCGAGGTGAGTAAACTCTTTACGCAAGAGAATACACCCCGTGTAGTGCTGACGGTTCAAGCGTATCGTTCCTAAATATACAACGACGCTGTCTCGAAATCTGTAGCACACCAGATTTACAAGCTCCGGCGAACTGGAATAGAGTCGAGAATTGAACACTTAAAATAGGAATAAATTTATCTCTCTTTTGATATTTTAATAACAAATAATTTTTATATCTGTTTTTCTCTCTATTTTTCCCACAATAATTCTTTCTCTATGTACTTTTCTCTTCTTTTTAATTTTTCTTCTGTATCCTTTCTTTTTCCTATGCTTTCTCTCTTGTGTGAAGTCCTATATTTATAGATGGGTTTAGAGCAAGTGGGCAGAACTTTTCACGCGTCTCAGCAGAATAATTTAATCAAATCACCATTAATTGTAACAATAATTGATGCAATTTGACAGTTCGCCGCTAGTAAAGGAATCTTCACATTGGAACAAATGCATGTTAGGCAGAAAAAGAAAATTAAAGTGGCACCTAGGTCATTAATAATACTCAATTATCATAGCTCACATGATTTATGCTCAATTATTCTAATAATAGATAATATAAATAAATAATTTACATTCGGGTAAGTTACTCTTTTATTTCATTAACTTAACATGTATATTATCGGAGTTGAGGTCGACTCTTTTATAAGTGTTAACTCTTACTAACGAGTCGAAATGGAGTTTTATCGAACAAAAAAAAAATCATATAAAATTATTTTTTCGAGTCTTATCGAGCAAAGTCAATCTCAGTTCGTTAACAACTCGTTTACCAAACGAACTTTAACTAAACTCAAACTACTCATTTGAGCCGAGTCACAAACGGCTCGTTTTATTTAAAAGTTATATTTTCGGTTCATTTAACATCTCTATTTAAATTTATAAAACTGCAAATTAATGTAATCTCTAACCCAAACACACTTTTTTTTTTCGAAAAAGTTGACAGCTCATTAATAGTTCTGCAACACTCAATAAGAAGAAAAATCCAAACAGCACCAATTATGACTCATCTAGTTTAGTAAACCTAAAAAAGGCAAAATTGCAATTTTGGTCCTGCTGCTTTGGCCTCGTAGCGATTTTAGTCCTGCGCTTTTGGCATTTTCCTATTTAGTCTTGTAACTATCAAAGTCAACGCGATTTTGGTCCTTCCGGCGACCAAAAGTCAACATTGCGGTCGATTTTGCCGCGTGTCCCGCAAGTGATGCCCGCGTGGCCGATCTCCTCTGACATGGCGAGCCGAAACGCCGATTTCATCTGACGGGGCCGATTTTTGCTGACGTGGTAATTAAAAAATTGCCAAAAAAAAAAAACAAAAATGAAAAAACCCCAAAAAATCCTTAGATTTACTATTCATCATCTTCTTCAAGTAATCCTTCAACACCTCCATAGCCCCAAGCTTCATTTTTTCGGGTCATCCACCACCTCCGGCGAGCCGCCGTCGTCCCAGCTCAGGCAACGTTGCCGGAGACTCGAGCTCGCACCACCACCGCGCGTCAGCTCCGAGCCCAAGCCATCCCGGCGCTGCACCACCACAGCTCCACCTGCGCGTTCCTCAACTATGTGTTCCGGCAACCAAGCCACCACATCCAGCTTCCACGGTGACCTCCGAGCACCGTAGACCCGACCTTCACGCCGGCGACCAAGCTCAGCCCCGTCGCTGTTCAAGCTCGCAACCAGCAGCTCAAGCCCACCACCACCGTTCGCACCTCGTTCGCACCACCTCTGGCAAGCCTTCATTCCCGGTGTTACTGTAGCACGGTGTTCGTACGGCCAACAACTCCATTATTCTTTTTCTAGCTCACCTTATCGGAAAAAGCTAGCAACCGTGACCAGCAGCTTCTTCACGCGCCGACGACCTATCCGAGCTCCTCGATCTGTGCAAAATCAAACCAGCTCCGACCAGACCCAAGGCTCGTAGCTCAGAACCCAACCAGCAGCACCAGATCCGTGAATTTAAAATCTTATCCTTTAAAATCAAATCCGTGAAAGGATAAGATACTTAAAGATGTGAATAGTAAATTTAGGGTTTTTCTATTTTTTTGGGGTTTTTTCATTTTTTGGGGTTTTTCCATTTTTTGGCAATTTTTTAATTACCACGTCAGCGAAAATCGGCCCCGTCAGATGAAATCGGCGTTTCGGCTTGCCATGTCAGAGGAGATCGGCCACGCGGGCATCACGTGCGGGACACGTGGCAAAATCGACCGTAATGTTGACTTTTGGTCGTCGGAAGGACCAAAATCGCGTTGACTTTGATAGTTATAGGACTAAATAGGAAAATGCCAAAAGCGCAGGACTAAAATCGCCACGAGGCCAAAACAGCAGGACCAAAATTGCAATTTTGCCCCTAAAAAATAAATCAACTGGTTATTACAAATATAAAAGTTAGTAAACAATTTCCGTTCAACTATTTCATTTAAAACATGTAAAAAATTACAAAAATAAAAATAAAAACAAAAACAAGTTTTTCTCAACAAACTCGTATGACTCATTTGATAAATGAATTCGATTAGTTGGTCGAACTTGACTAGTTTAAATAAACGAATGAACCGAACCGAGCTATGTACACCAACTTAGTTCGAATAACAACTCTACACCCGTGGAACTCTATCCTGATACTACCCAACATGCAGACCTTTCTGAACTCAAAATTAACTTAAAATCTAATGTGAAGTACGGGTTCGTCCAACCAAACCGAAAGTACGGGTTCGTCCAACCAAACCGAAACAGTAAAGTTCGATAGATCAGACTTTAAAACCGGAAACTAACTGTGTCAATCAACTCAGACTTAATCGAAATAAAAAACTTGCAAGTTCTAACAGCACACGAGCCAGATTTCTTCAAACTGCAAAAGGGTTCCAGCAATACTACAAATTAAAACAATGAGATCCTGAATATAGATAGAATCCAGATATTCCATAGCAGTTTCTTCCAGCAAGAAATTTGAAGTCTCATTAATATCATAAAATATAAAACTATCAAGCAGCATGAACAGGGGTATCTTTGATCGACTCACGCCAAGCGTACTCCCTGGCCCCATCCTTGTCAACAATTTTGATAATGAAGTTTGGTGGTGCCACAACCAGCCTGCTCCGAATTTCGATTATGCATTTGTCGACCAAATCAATAGCCTCCTCGACAGTCATGTCCGGACGGTAGTGCCTATCCATCATGGAGAGGGCAAAGTAGGACCCATAGCCAAATGCAGCTTTATCAACCTTGATAAGGGAAGCAATGTAATCTATGTAGTACATAGATGGGCCAGTCTTCTCATCGTATCCAGCCAGGATGATGTTCACCATGTATGGATTCTGATATAACACCCACAAAAATTAAGTAAAAATAACATTTGAGGACAAAGAAAATGTTGCGACAGTCAACAAATGTGTCACATTTCCGATGTAAGACACTTTTATAAATAAAAATGTAATACAAATACTCAAATAGGAAATACAACAAAAAGTACAGCAAGTGTTGTTCAAATAGGAACTTAGGATATAAATGTGCAGAATCACAGATATAGCAGAAGCCTTGTATAGGATATCTAACAGAATGTGTGACAAAAATGGATAAAAGGATGATTTTCGTCAGAAGAAAAACACAACAAAGTAACTGATGACGACAAGACCTGTTCCATGTGAATCAAGAAACAGAAAATGGGGCAACAACAAAAGCCTCTGGCTTCAACTGTTTCATTTCTCCTATTTTCTATAACAGGGCTAACAAGTCACAAGTATAGGGTGGTATGTACAACACTACAACTACAGGATGAGCTAAAGTAAGCAAGTGTAACAAGAAATTACTATTAATGGTCCAAGGAAAAGTCTCAAAAGATCGTCCACCATGAACAATCAGCTAATATGTGTCAAGTACTGAAACACCACAGGGATAAATAATTCACAAGCTATTCAGGACACATGTTTTGAAGAACAAAAGTTATAAGTATCTTGAACATGGGAAGACGAACAGACTGCATTTAAACATCCCTGTATCTTTAACACTTTTTGAGGTCGTCCCAAGTGAATTTATAAGAAAACCGATTACTCGGATGACAAAGAAAAGACCCCAAACAAGAATCGCATGGGCCAAAATAAATTTACGGCAAAGCTAAAGTTTTATATTCCCACTCAAGCTCAAATAACAAAGAAGGTCCAGCAATTAATCAAGAAAGGAACTCTAGAAAAAGGAAAAAAAATAAAAAATCAATCCAGTCAAATCAAACAGTCGTAGAGAAATTCTATAGGAACTACAATACCTTACGCAGGGCTGTGGCAAGCTCGCCTCTGGTGAAGTTTGCAGCAGCTGCAGTAGTCAAAGGAATGCCATTGCGAAATTGGTACAGAGCTACATTCTTCTGTATGTACTCTGTAAATTGAACCCTGCCAGCATCAGATGAAATATTAATCACTACATAGAAGCCATTTTTCAACTAAACACAACCAATAGAGCTTCCGCCAATAGAAAAGGCTGATAGAGGAGTGAAATTAGACTTTAACTTTACACCCGTTGTTTCATATGATAGTTCTTGGAGAATCAAGTTCATAAAAGTATTTTCAATCCATATGTTTTGCTGTCATAACAACCTTACTATTCATACAAGAACTCACCCAATATTACATCATTAGGGGACAACATTGGCTTGTGTACTTCAAGTTACTATCCGTCATATGAGTTTGTCACCATCAGTATCCCATTTTAATTTCTTTTCATCTGATCCCCACACCCCATAAAAAAAACTTCCCCACAGAACCCTAGATACAACAGCAAAAAAATACTGGAAAACTGAAAGTAGTATTCTTCCCCCCGCCATCTCAAGGCAGACACCCGACTCCCACTATTCAATAACTCTAAGCCGTACCAAACCTGCTAATCCCCAATATACTAACCCTAATTTCAAGAAACTCCTGCCATAGTCCCCTCGCACATCGCACAAGCAAGTAATCCAGAGAGAACGCAACATGAATCACCGGAAAAAGGAAATCCCAGGCCATATACTCTAGATTGAAAAGGATACATTCACATCTCTAAAGAATTCGAACAACGCAACTAAAAGAAAGAAATAGACTTATTGCGACAAGCAAATGGAGGTCACAGGGTTTTACCGGTCGCCGGTCTCTCCAGAGGCGCCCATGAGCTTGTGAGAATCCAAGATCATGATCTTGTCCTCGTTAGTCTTGTGTACGAGTATGCTATGAACGGCCGATGTATCAGCAGCCACTATCGCAAAATCCTTACCCACTAATCCGAACACTGACTCCATTAGCGCTCCTCAAGTTGGCGATAAGAAAGTGTTTAATTTTTTTTTATGTCGTTAGCTTGCGAATTCTGCTAGTACTGATTCTCCACAGGGTTTTGCATTTGTTTTGCGGAATGGGCGTCTTGGGGAAGAAGAAGGCTTTTAGATCTGGGATATTTATTTTTTTGTACCTCAATTATACTTATTTTGCCAATTTGGTACCTCAAGTTTGCAATCAATTTATTCAGTACCTAAATTACATACTTTTTAATTAATTAGTCATAGTTTTTAAACTTGGCCCGGTAATCGACTCGGGTTGGTCTTCGGGTCATCGGGTCGCCGGTTCAACCGTCGGGTCACCGGGTCAATTGTTGAACCGGATAATTAATTTTAAAATTTTTAAAATTATATATAGAGTAATTTTGCCATATAAATATACATAAAAGTAACAAAATTAAATGTTTTGTGTATAAAATTTGTACATTAAGAGCACGTTTGGTTGGGAGGATGGGATTTGAGGATTTTTATCTTGCTCTCAAGGATTGCACTGTTCAGATTATTAATGTACATTGTCTGGTACACAAGATATGAGTGTTGGATAAGTTTATATTAACTCACAACCTATATTTGTTTGGCATGATAAGATTATAGATTACCTTCATTATTAACTAAATTACCCCTTATAATGTCAGATATAACCTAATCGAGCACCGTTTTTAGTTTCAGTCGAAAAATCTCCATAATCCCAAAAGCGAAAGAAGAAAACCTAGCTTGACTTTTTTCCTGATAAAAACCCGTCATCCCTGGCCCCAAAGATGCAAGATCAATATTTCAGGTAAAGATTTTATCTCTCCGTTTGTTACTGAAACAATTTAACACACAAACGCCGAAGATTTTATCTCTCCCTTTGCTACAGGGTAATCGTTATTATACTTTGTTACTGAAACAATTTCTTCGTCAGTTGTTATGTTTCCCTGAATATTAATAACTATAAAATGGGTGTGTGATGAGAGGGTGAATATATGATTTTCCTAGGTTATTATTCTGTCCTTGTTCAATTTTATTTTATTTTTTCTGTGGTTTGTGTTCAGTGGCCCAACAACTATGAAACATGTATTCTTGTGTGTAATGTAAAATGTGTTTCGATGTGGTAATACTGTATTTTGTAGGATCCTTCGCCGCACCTCATGAATATATTGTTTTGGGTTGTTAGTCCATATCTGTAAGTTGTTGCAATTTTGTGGAGCAAAGAGTTATTCGCATGGGAGTTCGGCTTATGAAGATAAAGTTGTGCATAAGATGGATGTCACTTGTAATTGTGGTTGCAAAGTGCATTTGAAAACTTCTTGGACCGCAAGAAATCCAGGAAGGAGATATTGGGCATGCCCCAAAATATGGGGTAATTCTCTATTGATACAAACTTGTATTTGTTATTTCATGGTAGTTTACAGATTTACTTGGAAACTGTCTAATACCTCCAAAATATGTACAAAGTTCTGGCTATTGTGGTTTTTTCATGTGGTTTGATCATGAAATATGTGAAAGGGCAAAATCAATTATACTGGTTTTGTTGGACAAAATGAGTAAGTACCGACATGAAATTGAGCAATTCAACATTAGAGAAAGGGAAGGAGTGATTCGCTTGGAGGTCGCGATGAGAAAGCTCGAAGATATGGAGAAGGAGCTAACAGTTCCAAAAATGTCTACCAATACATTGTGGAAAGTTGTTATTTGTCTTTCAACAATGCAGTTCATTTTAATTTTATGTTTGAAGTAGATTTATACCTCCTTAAACATTGTTAAGGGGAGAAAATGTATGGACTATGTTGAAAGTATGTAACGTAACCAAGTTGGTATTCATGGAACTTGACGGTTGTTTGTAACATAACCGCAAAATATGTAGTTTAATGAACTTTTGCAGATGAAGTTATTTTTACGTCTTTCCAACTATATAAGGTGAGTTCACTGTATTTGTATGGCACTAAGGAAAAATGGAAGAAACAAAGTAAGGAAGAAGCTGTATGGAAGCATCCGAATTAAGGATGAAAAGAAAAAATAAAAGGAATCAAGTAAGTAGGTTTATAGAATACTGCGTAGAGTTATTGCATCTTTTGTGGTTTGAGAAGTAAAGTGTATATTATTAGCTTTCATTAATTATGTGACATGATATTTACCAAACCCTTCCACATTTTAATTAAGTAACCTCTTTATTATGTAGTAGCCTTTTCAATTCTCAATTCACAAACCGACTGAAAAAACTCTTCTTTCTCTTTTGTCATCTGCGCAGGTATTCAGCTAGTAGCCTTCTTGGACTGCATTTCTCCTTTCTTTTGCCTTGTATCTTGACTGTATTCATCTGTGGCCCTCCTGAAGCTGTCCGTCTTTCATTATCTAATTATTTTCTTTTTGGCTTCTCTTATTACTAGGTGCAGAAGATAGATAGGGTCTCACGTGTTGAATAGATTGCGGCGCGCTATTGGGGAACGGGGTGGACAGAACACGAAGAGACCGTTTTTCTCCGTTTGTTTTTCCATACATGTCGTAATACTCCCGCATCCACAGGCCCCATGTCTTCAATTCTCTATGGAATGGCCTCGCACGTGAATTATTCGAACTGTTTCGAAAAGATTTTACCTTAGTCATGGTCCGAGCAAAAGTCCATCGCCTTAGAAGGATGTATCGTGACTATTTAATATACTTGACTATTCCCGGAGTGATGTGTCATGAAGATGAAACCCTTGTTAGTGTGGATAAGTCGTATTGGGAATACGTTGGAGAGGTAATGCATGTGGTTGATTATCATTTCCATTTTCGCCTGTGATCTTTTTATTCATTTAAACATACGGATCCTCCTAAACATAGTTTTATTTTGAAAAAAACAAAAAAAAAACAATTTTAAAAAATATATATGGGTCGAGTCCACCGGGTTGACCCAACCGAGTCAATGTACCGGGTCAAGGCCGGGTTGGCTGGGTTTTGACCGGGTTTGACCGGGTTCTTTGTTGCCCGGTCAAAATAGCCCACCCAAACTGGTTCTGGATCCGGGTCGACCCGGCGGGCAGCCCGGTCAAAAAAACTATGTAATTAGTACCTAACTTAATTTGAACTGGTAATAAGTTGTTCCCAAATGAGTTGGCTGGTCACGATAACATAGACATCATTTCAACTTTCAAGCATGACCAACCGGGGAGGTTTATTTAAAAGGGATGGTCAAAGCATGAAATTATTTAGATGACCCTTTGATTTTTTTTTTTTTTTTTTTTGTGTTTAAATATTCTATCCATTAAATAAAGGTAAATTAAAAGCTGAAATACTTAAAATTTAGATAACAAATGACTATAATACTCTCTTCTATTTTGTGTTACCAACTTTGTAAAAAAAATTTGATCGATCGCTCTGTCTCTGCTCCTCTCTCTCGTTTCATCTCTCTCGCTCTGCTCCCCTCTCTCGCTCGATCCTCTATTCTCTTGAAAAGGTGATAACAAAATATGATCATTATACATAAACTTTGGATTCCATATTGCAAAAGAAATGTGGTGATGGTGGAAGACGAACAATTAAAGCATTATCACATTTATTTTAGAGATAAAGCATGTTAGGGTTTGTTGTTATTTTAGAGATAAAGCATTTTAGTTCATATTTTATGATTGATAAACATGTTGGTTTCATATTTATTATGTTTTTGTGCCACTGAGGTTTATATTTTTTTAATTTTTTTAGATGAAGTTGTACATAACAAATGTACATCGTTATCTGAAGAATATCTAATAACGAATGTAGATTTGTTACCTAATTATTTCATAGAGAATGTAGATTCGTTATTTGATATTTATTTCACAATGAATGTAGTTTCTTTATTACATATCCCATTGTTTTTAATTATGACATATTCTAATGTAGTTTCGTTATAACCTAACGAATGTATTTTGTTATGACATATCCCAATGTAGTTTTGTTATATCTTAACGAATGTAGTTTCGTTATGACATATCCCAATGTACTTTCGTTATGACATATCTCAATGTATTCGTTATTTTACTTTGATATGCATTTTGGTTTCATATTTTCATGTTTTTTGTGTCATTCACATTTTATCTTCTATTTTTTTATATGATGTTGCATTTGATATTGCAAAACGAATGTACAGTCGTTATCTATTGTCATAATGAATGTACATTCGTTATCCGATGATTTTTTGTGCTATTCTCCTTTTTTTAGATGATGTTACATTTTAATTTTACATAACGAATGTACAGTCGTTATGCAGTTTCATAACAAACGAATGTACATTCGTTATTTGATGATTTTCTCATAATGAATGTAGATTCGTTAGATGAGTATTTTATAACAAATGTACTTTTGTTATGACTAAAATAGTTGGTTATATATAATTTTTAAAGAGTAAGCATAAGAACATTGTATACTATCTCCTATTTTAGTAACATGTGTTTCCACAATTATCTTGTCGAAGTAACATATATTTTTTTCTTGTAGATATTGATTTAGCAAAGATGGTGTGGATACAAGTATGCCACTATATTGAGTTGAAAAAGAGTACGGATGGCACTTGGACGTGGAGATATGTGAATGAAAATGAAGAGAATGTCAATCCACTTATGTTCGCGATGACATATCTTTCTTAGAGCTTGAGGATGCGGTCTTGAAGCTCATAAAGTTCAATAGCATCTCACACGTAATAGAATTGCGATCACTGAACCCAAGAATGACCAAATTTCTAGTCCCCCATGTGAAGATCGATTTTGATGAAAAAGTCAATGGTATATATCTGTTTGTGATGAACATCCTTTTTGCGTAACATTTGTCGAAAAACTTGCTGAGGAAGAAACGAACAATGTTGAAGTTGAAAAAAAAAAATCTTGAAGTAGAAGAAGAAACAATCAATCATGTTTTAGCGGTGATCGAAATACTTACATGGGAAAATGAAATTGGTGAGCTGCTCGAAGGTCAATGGGACAATATGGTTGAGAATAGAGATAGTCCTATGCAAAAAAAAAATGTTGAAG